CATGGAAAGGCCATGAATTCTCCATTCCTTTTACAGAGATGAAGATCCATCCTCAGTCATCCAGCAAGGAGGCAGTCCTGGGGAGGAAGAAGAGGTCTTTGTTAAGAAATATTCAATTGTTATCTTGGTGAGGGAAGAGGGAGGAGATCAGGGCTTAAATGGAACCCTGTGCAGGACAGTACCCAAGGTTCACTTCAGACAGCTTTCTCCAGCACACTGGGGACAACTGCTGACCAGTGTGCACGCAGGGACATCTGGACCTGCAGCACATCCTGCTGCCAGCCTTTGGAGCTCCTGATGGGTGATCTCCCAGAGGCTGGGAGGGGGCTTTTGGGGAACATCCTGCTTGTAGATGGCCTGTTGGCTAAACATGACAAGGACCTGCTTGACACAATATTTGAACTTTGATTAACTTTACCTAAAATAAGCTTTAACACATGCTGTTCCTTCTGAAACCCAGGCTGCAGGCTCCTCTTCCTTCTATCCTTCTCTGATGCCATCCACTTCAAACTTCAAAAAATTAAATTTGAACCTACTAACAAATAATAGCCCCCTAATTTACATTGGAGAGAGCTTTCCTGAGACTAATTCCTCTCCCTGTCTTGCTCTGTCATTCCCCTTGTTATTTGGGAACATTCTCTACTCTTCCTGCAGAGCTGGGTTTTGGGAAATGTTGCCAGGCTGCTGGCAAGGCTCATTAATCCAGATGAGTTCTGTAGACTGGGTTCCTCAGCCTCCAGTATTGCATCTCTCCAGGTTAAAATCCTGCTATTTTGCTTGTATCTTCTTGTCTCTTGTGGCCCAAATTAAAACCTGAGCAGCTGTGCAGTAAGTTGATGTTCACACTCCGGAGTGAGGCCCAGAACAGGGTGAGTGTAAAGGCTACTCTCTTCCAAGCTCTGCTCACCATCCCAAACCTGCCTCTCCATTCTGCTTGCCTAAGGGGCTGCTTGCAGACTGTAAAACAAAATTCTCTGTGTGACTGTTCCATCTGCTGCCTTCTGCTTTTTCATTAGCAGCGTGGCAGGTAGTGATGCTGAAATGATAACACTTGTCATCCACCTCTAAAATGAGCACCTCTTGGACCTAAACTGATCCTGCACGCTTTCCCTCAAGCCCCAGTGCATGCTTTCACATTTGGCTGCTTTTTTATTTTAACTCAGTCATAAAGGTGAGGTCTATTTTCTTTCCCTGAGCGGATATTAAAATTCTGGACCACCAGCTCCAGCCAGGGAAGAAGTATGAACTCACCAAATGCTGCTTGCTCAAAGGCTTCCTTGTCTGAACACACTGGAACATGGTTGTCCTATGTCTTAATGGCCTTTTCTATCCCAGTGCTAAGCTGAATAATTAATTTTAAAGAATCCTTCCCAGACTTTGGAGGAAATAATAAAATTGCAAATAAAGGAGGCCTTAAAATATTTCTATCTTCTTTGCTTTGGGTGGCAGAATTATTTTTCTTCCCATTTAAACGAAGCATTTTGTATGGAGAGAGAGCATTACCCAATCCCAGAGAGGGGCTGTGCAAATTAGGTCTTTGGGGTCTGCTCCAAAACAGCGATGGGCACTGTGTGATCTCTTTGTGACCTAACTCTGTGAAGCACTTAACTGATCTGTGCTTGCTGGGACCTGGCTGAGGAGAGTGAGCTCGAGAGTTGTCTCCCAAAGGTGAGAACTAAGTTCTTCACAGAACTTTCAGGGCTGTGGCTCTTGTGTGGGTGGGCAGGCAGAGACTCATCTGAGCTGTGTTAGGATATCCAAGCCCTGGGCTGGGGGAAGGAGGAGACTAATGGTGAGAGGAGAGGAAAGGAAAATTGCACTTGAAGTGCTCTGCAGGCTCTGTGCTAAGAGCATGAGAGAAGGACACAGGAAGGCGATGAGGGCTCTTTACTGTGAAGTGCTTTCTCCCTGCTGCCCACTTGTCTGTAGGCAAGGACAGGTTTCAGTCTGTTCATTAAAGGGCACAGTGAAGTCATCAGGAATGAGACTGAGAGGGAGAGGAGGACTGATTTCACGCACAGCCCCTCTGAAAGTAAGTCCATGCTCTAAAAAAACCATAGGTGTGATTTTTCCCAGCAGCTCTTTCTTGTGCAGGGACAAAATATAATCCTCTCCTAGAGCTGAATCCCAGCTGGAAGAAGGGAGTATTCTCTTAAGCGGTACGAGCTTTGCATTTCAGAACCAAAGGCAAACGGGACACTTTTAGTTTCTGAGAAGGGTTTACTTGTTGCTCCTGATTAAGTGCCCTTCTTCCACCAGGAAGGGCAGTCAAAGGGGCGGCTGCTGGAAAGATATTGTGGGAATTCAGTACTCCCGAACAGCCACAGGATGGCACCGTCTCTTCACGCTAGTGCAGGAAAAACTTCCCCGTATCCAGCTGGCGTCTTCGGAAAGACCTTTTTGGGGTTAACGAGTCTGTGTTACAGCCTGAGAGGCTGGGACTGCTCAGATAATGCGGCTTGTTTGCCTTAAGGAACTGGCTGTTCTGGTTTTGAGGCTCAGGCTGGTAGTAGTCGATGGGTAGTTCCATAAAAATGTCACATACTCTTACTACCCTTGTTTTGCTGCAATAACCGGCCTGGTGACAGTAATGCTGGAGGGCCAAAACGTTCTTGAAACCTCTGCCTTGCTCTGAGATCACTTAAATTTTATATACTGCTTTGCAACACTCCCAGAGGCAGAAATTTGAATCCCAGAAGGATCCTCTCTGCTTTGGCATCACTGTGTTAATGAGGATTGTCCTGTTGGTGGGTCCTACCAGCCAGGAGCCATGTGTTATGACATATCTGGGACCCCAGAGAAATGCTGCAGGATTTACCCAGGAGGAGGAGGAGAGGATGCCTCTTCCTCTGTGGTGTGATTTGGAGAGAAGACTCAAGTGTCTTTCTGCACTGGGCACTTGTCTGGGAAGCAGTGGTGTTACTTTTGGTTGCTGCCCTATGCTTTGTTGGCTGAATAAATAGTGGAACAGCCAGTGAAGATCCAATTCTTTCCTCATAGAGGGATTTAATGGGCCTCTATGTGGGGGTGACTTTTGCTTCCCCTCAATCTCTGGAGTGCTCCACGATGCTCAACCTCACCTCAATCCTGTATATTTCTAACCTAGGATGCAGATTCTGTCTTTTCCCTCTGCAGCCCAGGCTACCCAAGAACACCTGGCCCTGAATCCCATGTCTGACATCTGGAAAGAAGCGAAGTGTGTGCTGCTCCTTCCTCCCCCCAAGTGTGCCTTTGCCATTTCCAGCTGCTCCTTGCTGTGGTCCTGCATGCCTCTTACACCCAGCCTCAGCTCTGGAAGGTGCAGCTTGGTGCCTCATCCAGGTGAGAAGCAGGTTTTTAATTTCCACCCTCGTGGAGGCAGAGCTCAGTGGTGCAGGATTTGGAAAGGCTCTGCCCAGCAGAGCTGTGTGCCTGGTTCTGGGACTTGCCCAATACAGACAGCAAGCTGCAGACACTTTATCTGATCAAAACCAACTGGGGTTAAGCAGCCCATGCTGCTGATCCTCTGCAAGGAAAAAAAAAAAACCCTCTGCAGCCCACCTCCTGCACCACAAACACAGCTTTTCTTCTCCCCACTACTTTTTGTCCTTGAGTGGAGGAGCTTGGCTGTGCTCATTAACAAGGCAGGGCCACTCAACTTGATTAAGCTGAGCTGTTTCTTTAAGAAAACGTCTCTGAGCTGCACAGCTGGCTGCAGGCAGAGACTGCACGGCCTCTGCCTGCTGAGCTCTCTCTGGCTCTTATCTAGGGCCAGGACACAGATACAGGAAAGATCTCCCCATGAAAATAAACACAACCGAGAGATAGAGACACAGCATTTGTTTGCAGTTTAAGAGCAATTTATTTTTAGTTTAAAAAAAAATAAATTGCACAAAACTCGTTTTGTTGTTCCCCCCCCCTGTTGCATGGACTTGTTTAGGCAACTTGAAGGCTGATACTGAAATGCAGTTGTGGGAGGCAGAGTGGAGGTGTCTGGAAAGCAGGAGCTGTAGGACAGAGTTTGTCTACCATGCATCTCTGGAGCCAGCCCCAGTGCTTTTTTGGGGTGGGGAGGCTTGGACCATCCGCTGGTCAGGTGGATCAGGTCAAGGTTGTATCCTGGTCCCTCCCTGCCCAGCCTGGCAGTGGTTTGAATGATGATTTTGGGGAGCTCTTGAAATTCAGACCTGGCTCTGAACTCCCTGGATCTGGAGATGTGTGTGATGTAACACGTTTTCTTGGCAGTTCTCTGGTTCTTGTAGGAATTGGTTGCCCTCGCCTGAAATGTTACCCGCTATCCCTCCTGGAGAAGGACCTTCCTGCAGGGAGCCCTGAAAAGCCCAGCACCTCCACACCAGGTAGGCTGTGCTCTGCTGGTGCTGGCTGCCTCCATGCCCCTGCTTGTTTGGGAAGCTTCTGGCCACCCATGGTGTTTCCCTTTACTCTGATTTTTTTTTCAGTTCCTCCAGGCAGCACCACCCTGCCTCCAGGGCTGCTCGTGCCTCTGGATCGAAGCAGGAACTCCTGCATGGGCAGCATTCCTGCCCACAGTGCTTTGGCCACCCGCTGAGCACGGAGGCAGTACCTGGCTGGGGAAAAGGAGGGAAGGAAAACAAATATGAGTACAGTGCTAATTCTCCAGGATCCTGGCTGGACTGGGTGTTTGGGACAGAGACCAGAGCCATTCCCGCATGTAATCCTAGGATTACATGTGGCAAATCCTAATTTTTTATACCATTATACGTTGCTTCCTGTTTTGGAGAAGAAGGGACTCACTAATTTCAATGGTAACAAAGCAAGCTGGAAAATAAGGCACATATGGGGTCAATTTAAAGGGCTGTGTGAGGAGGAGGCTGTTCCCAGCACAGCCACACGCAGCCAAACCCCGTGACGTGATGTGGCCATCCCGGCCCTGCCTGTGTCGGACAAAACAGGCTGTGCTGGGACTGGGTGGCACAAGCAGCCGCTTCCAGGCGGTGGCTTTGTCCCCCGGGCCAGGGGAGGTGGCATTGCCCTTGCCTGGGCTGGAAGCGGTTGTGTCCGGCAGCTCTGTCCGGGCTTGCCCACGTGGCTTTGGCTGCTTGTTCCCCAGATGTCTGGCTCTTCCTGGCAGCTCTGGTCTGCTCCAGCAGCTTAGGAACTGAAAGGAAACCGAAGGAAGGCATCCAGTGTACAGACAGGGCAAAAAGCCGATGTGGTGAGGCTTCTCGTCACACACATGCATGGCAAAACAAGCTGGGGGAGACAGAGACTGGTGGAGGGGAAAGACACAGGAGACTCCCAGCCCACGGGTGGGCACACAAGTCTAGGGGAGCAGTGACAAAACCCCAGCAGGGGTGAGAGCTGTGGCTGGTTCCATTAGCTGCTGTGCCCAGGCTGAGCCATTGTTCCAAGGGACATGAGGATGGACAGGGGTGCAGGGTCCAGCTGTATGATGGATCCCTGGGTAAGGCATGACTGTGGACATGGAGTTTACTTTGCTCGTACAACACATTCCAAATCCCAGAGCTGTCCAGCCTGACAGCTGTAGAGAAGCCCTCAGTGTGGCACACAGAGGTGCCCGTGTGGCATCGGCTCGTGGGTCTGTGTGTGTCTCCTGTGTGGCACAAGGGCTGCAGGGAGAGAGGACGGCTGAGTGTGCCAGGACAGCGTGTCTGCTGCTTCAATACTGCTTCGGTGTGCCCGGCCCTGCTCCAGAGGGGCCTTTGGTCCTGCTCTTCTTTAGTAGTCATTCAATAAATAACTCTAATGCCCGTAGCTAAGCTTTTACACAGCCTCAGCTTGTGTTTCCGCTGTTGCAGTAGCGTGGTGGGCTCTTTAATGGCAAGTTTGTATAAAAAAGTCTTTCAAGGAAGGGGTTTTTTTAAGTGCTGGTGCAAAAGGGCTGGTCTGGCAGCCTCCTCTCTCCTCCCTGCCTCTAGCCTGGGTGGCCAGGCATCCTTCTGCTGTGCTGCCTTAGGATGGTGTCATGAGGTCTCTAAGGTTGGGCTGAGGGCATCTGGCTTCAGATGCTCTCAGGTGCTTTTGGTCGGGTAGCCAGGGAGATGGCACATCTTTGAGCCGTGGGGTAACTCAGTGCTTGGCTTTCTTTGCACCTCCAAAGCGAGCTGGGTTTGGACAGAGCCCAGACAGTCAAGCTGTGCCATCCCCACGGCAGGGTAAGCAAACGAGGCGTGTCTGTGCCTGCTTCACTTGTGGCTGTCCGTGTTTGAGCAGGGGGAGCGTGCAGGTGGTCTTTGGGTGCACGTTGTCCTGCGCGCCCCTGTCTGTGCCACGGTGCCTGTGCTTGCGATACGAGTGCAGAGGGAGAGCCTGCCCCCCGTTCCCTGGGTGCCAGCCTGGTGAGTGTGCGCTGTGCTCGTGGCAGGAGGCATGTATGGCCCAGTGGCAGGTCACCCTTGCATGCTCACCTGTCCTTTGCAGGGGTCTCTGACTCTGGGCGCGGTGTCAGGGTGGAGGAAAAGGGGCTTGTATAACCTGTGCCCGACTGCCTTGCTCTCTCTGCTGGCCCTTCAACACGCTGGGCTCAGCCTCTGTCAAAAGTCACCACAAAGCGGCAGCAGCTTTGGCATCTCCCTGCCCCTCCTGGTGCACAGCTGTAAGGACTGGTGGCATCTCAGAGGAGAAGGCCTGAACACCCTCCTGTCTGCTAGATGGGCAGGGAGGGCCTCTTGTCCAGCAAGAGCAGCTTGGGCTGAGCCGAGATCCACAGGTCCTCTTCATCCTGCTTCTTCTTCTTCTTCTTTTTCTTCTTGTTCCTCTCGGCGTGCAGCTGCCCGTTGCTGCTGGGGCCCCCTTTCCTCGAGCCTTCTCTCCTCCGTCTGCAGAAGCAGCAGTGGCAGCAGATGAAAATGAAGGCGATGAGGACGACCAAGGGCAGACCCAGCAGCACGGCCAGGCAGACGGTGTTGAAGATGCCTTCCTCGTGCTTGGTGCGGATGAGCTCCAAGATGGAATTGAAGAAAGAGCTGATCTTCTGCTGCATGTCGGCTTCTGAGTAGGCTGCTTGCTCCGCAAAGGTCCCTTGGGATACCTTCAGCTCCTGTAAGCAGCTCGTGGGCTCCACAAGTGTCCTGGGATGGTGCCTGCAGAGATAAGAAACTACAGGGATCAGGTGCCTGCTCCCTCAGCAGTTTTCTCCATGGAGCTGCCAGCACAGCCTAAGCCTCAGCAGGGTAAGATGTCTTCTGTCTTAGAGGGGTCTGGGGTCATGGGGGATGGACTATGCTGCCTGCCATGTTCCTTTGGGTTTCTCCATCTGAGAAACATAGCCTTCTATATCCTAGGATTCTTTTTTGGTGGTGGGGATGGACAAGGAGGGCTTTGGGCATCCCTTCTTGCCTTGGCATCTGGCTGAGCACAGATCCTGCCCCTCTGCACTTACATCTCAGGCCTCGCTGAGCACCAACAGCACCGAGCTCTTATTAGTCCTTTGTAGGGCTTGTTTCTCAGCAGAGGAAATACTTCTGCAGGAGGAGCTTTGCTGTCTAGGAAGGGACTTGCCTGATTCAGGTAAGGGACCACTGTGGAGAGCAGTGCCACTGTTGGATGCAGGACTCTACATGTCACAGGTCTCCCCTTACCCCCAGTCCATCCTGGGACGGGGTATCCTTGGACAGACTGTTTGTCATGGGCTGGGGTGGGCAGCATAGAGGCAAGGAGTGCCTGTCCCAGGCACCACACAGGGTCGTGGTCTGGTCCTGCTGCCCCGACACCCAGGGCACTGCCAGCCAGGTTTGGGGTGGCAGCTGTGGTTAAACCACCTGGATTTCTGATGAGAACCATGGTCATGGGACTCACAGGCAGCACTCATGTGGGTGGACCCTGATGGGCTGCCTCCCTGCATCCAGGGCTGGCCACAAAGGCGGCAGCAGGGGAGGATAAGGGTTGGCTGGGGATGGAGGAGCTGCCGCCGCCGTGCCTCACCTGGGAATTGCTCCAAGGGTTTGGGTAGGGCTGAGGAGCATTTCTGTGGCCTGACGTAAGGTTTTCCTCTTCCCTCAGGGAGGGAGAGGTGCTGCTGAGTGGCAGGGCTCCCAGGGAAGCCCTCCTGCAGGGGCAGGGAGCTGCTCAGGCTTTCCTCCTGCCCTGGGGCCAGGCAAAGCTCCTGGGGGGGGTCTGAGTAGGGCAGGGGGCTTTGTGGGTGAGTCTGCAGTTCTGGCTCAACACAGGGGTCACCAAATTAGAGGCTGTACAGACGAAGAGCTGGCAGGGCAGTATCGGGCTCTAACACCCTGTTTCACCCTCACTCAGCATTTTACATCGGTGTCTTTGCCAGCCTTTGAGATTCAAGCCCCACAGCCTCTTGAGGGAATGCTGAAATCCCCGTGTGCCCAAGAAGAGAAACTGAGGTGCAGTCAAAGGAAAACCAACACTTCCACATAACAAAAACTTGAAAGGTACAGCTTGAATTCCAAAGGTGTCCCAGAGGGGTCGCTCCGCTTGTCCCCTGTGACACCAGCTCCTTGACTTGCCCTCGGGCAGCTCTCACAGAACTTGGGGACCTTGGCGGGGGGACAGGGGGACCCAGGCTGGGGCTGGTTCCAGCTAAATCCTCCTTGTCCATAGCACTGCCCTTCCTTCCTTTGCATCGCATTTATTCCTGCTGTGGCACCTGCTAAGGCATGCTCTCTTGTATAGAGCGTTTTGGGATCCTCCAGTTCACCCAGCCAGCACATGCACTGCTCATCCTCCCCCTTCACTTTCCAATTACACCACGCTCCTAACGAACTACCGAGCCATCAGCCTTGCCCAAAAAGGAACCACCAGTCCCACCCAGCCCTAACCGCAGCCTTAGTGCTGCTGCTGAGGCAGGAGATGCTGGGCAACCCCCAGAAAGGTGGCTCCCCGGGGAAAACCCGCCTTTGGAAACACTGTCCTGGGACCTACAAGGCTGTGCAGGGTCTTGTTTCACCGGTCACCCCTGGCTGCTGGCTTTTGGACCTGACTGCCAGGACCCCAAGAGCTGAATCCCCAGCAGAGACACCGAGGCCTCAATCTGGGATTCTAGAAGTGCTCAAATCCTGTTAGAAGCAAGGGGTTTATCCTCCGTGCCCCTCACAAAATTGGTTTGTTCTGCCCAAGAGCGCAGCTGAGCTGGCCCCAATTAGCTGGTGGTTTCTTTTTTGAACATGAATTTCTGTGGGTGCCTTTTAAAAAAACCTCTCATTTGAGATTTACCAAATGAAATGCAGCGCTCTGGGAGGTGGTTTGGCCTTTGGCTGAAAGAAGTTTATTATTATTATTATTGCTGGATTTTTGTCCAGTCTGCTTG